AAAAATTAAGTTTTAAAATAAAATTTGAAGGCTATTATACTTGGCTATAAGATTTTAGTTTGTAAGTTACATGATACGAAAAAAAAGGAAAAAAATATTGATTGCCCCCAGAGAGATTTGAACTCTCGACCCCTGGTTTACAAGACCAGTGCTCTAACCCCTGAGCTATGGAGGCTCACGATTTTATTTCTCGATAGGATTGTAGAAAAAGGCAACAGAAATATTTCCATATAAATAATTACTTATTGATTAATCATATATTTGTTATTTGCAGTAATTATTACAAAACGTAAATAATTAAGAGTATTCGCTTTTCCACTTTGCATTTAGTACAAATACGACTGTATTAACAAATATATACTATACGTAAGTGTGTACTGTACATATGTATATCTACATACATTATTATTTCTATACGGTGAGTTGTTGGCATTGCAATTTATTGTTACATCATAAATTAGAACAGAAGTACCGTACAATAATAATAATTAGTATCCTCGAATAATCCTACTTAACAGAGATACAAACAATTTTGTAATGAAAATAAATATAATGAGCATGATTTATTGTTTCATGTTCGTTCGCAACTCACATTTATAATAATTACATTCACATTTCATCGGAATGTATTTACGTAACGATAATGACTGAACCAACATTCATTACATTACGTACTCGTGGTGCCTTTGTGCCATACTTACTTATTCATAGATTTCCGCAGAATTAAATTGTCAGTAGTATTATCTTTCGAAAGCAGTCATGATTACAATTATCCATGGGTAATTATCTCAGTGACATGAAATAAAAGAAACGCCGGGACGATCAAAAATCATTAGTGTCCCCGATTGACAGACAAGTAAACAATTTGTGACAATTAAATCGCCGAGCCGATGGCAATCGTGCCAGGCAAATTGATCATCGATCTTGTTAGCGTTTACCTAATTATATTATTACACGGTGACGGCAGCATTCATGGTAATGATGTTATTCGAGGGAATCGCAGCGCCAGCAGGTGATTTGTTATGCATACGGGATGCGTCGTCCACAATGTACCTGCAGCCGTTTGCCTAGAACGCGATGTGACGGCACGCGAGAGAATTTTTTGGAATTTTGATTTCTCGTGAGAAACACGACTCGATAAAGAGACCCTGCCCGCCTGGAGCGTCTCTCGAAACGAGAAAAATTCACGAGGTGATCTTTGCGTTTCCTTCAGCTAATATTTGATCAACGCTTCTTTTCTGTGGTGAAGCTCATTATTGTATATCTTTCTCTTTCCTTTTTCAAAGCAATTTTTATCACCATTCACATTTGATATACAATAATTTTAGTTTAAGTGTTTCTCTGTTAATACTCGTTAATAATTCGAATTTATGAATCATGAAATTTTATTTATACATGGATGTAAGGTTTTAATAATACGAGAACCTGTAGGAATTAATTCTATGAACGTCTTCGCACGTGGAGCATTAAATACATAATTTCGAAGAACAAACGACCGCTGAAAGAACCATACACGAAATCTCATAAGTTTCCACACCACGCGGTTCGCTCGTTTCTCAACCCGTACTCCGCAGTAAACTAGAACTAGAGTTAAACTTTTGAAGAATAAGAAGAAGCAAAGAAGAAAAAGAAGAAGAAGTAGAAGGCGAAGGCGAAGGAGGCGAAGAAGAGGAAGGAGAAAGTAAGCAACATCCTAACTATGTCCCGTGAATCTTTAATTTGATAAACGTGGCAGTGTGTTTCGCTAAATAAGTCCCTAGTTTCTGTCCAAATAGCCTTTATCCGCGTGTTGCAAAATGTCTGCAAGGATGCCCGTGCTCCAATTTTCTGTTTAATCGGTGCACATACTCACATTCCTACATACGGGCACACGGACCTTGGCCATGTAAACGCGGCATCGCCGTTGTTGTACAATAGGACAGAAAAGAGGGTAGGAAGGAGGGAACAGAGGGCTCGAAAGGAAAAATGGGAACGGACGGATCTGTAGAAAGCCATAGCTTGGGGAAACCAAATGTTTGCGGACAAATCGTCGTCGTTTTCGACGGGGAAAAATCAACAAACGTTTCTGGCTCTGTCCTAATGCACCGTCCGATGGAAATCGTTCCGCACGCGCGGACACGAGTTTTCTTCTCTCTCTTTCGATTCGACCACTGTACCCCAGCATCTATGGATACATTGTCTAGGATAGACAGTCCAAGAATACGATGTGTTGTATCCGATTTCATCGTGGATTTGTTCCTTGTCACGGATTTTGAACGATAAACGGTGTTGTTTTCTTTCTGATCTTCCGGTTCGAAGATTTATGAATAGAATTTGCTGAGACTGATTCATGATTGTGAGATCTGATTAGCATACATTGCTCGGAATTTAAAAAACTCATATTATAATAGAGAATTATTTATTAATTTCTATTCTATGTCTTCAATGATAAGCCAAATACACAAGTAATCACCTTGCAAATTAATTTAACTTTTACTCTTTCTAGAGAATCGAAAAATCTTCCTTAAAGAAAAAATTTAAAAAAAGAATATTAATTCTTCGGATAGAAACCGCAATTTGGTAACTACGGCTTCATCAGTTCGGTAACTTCGGAAATGCTTTGGCAAGTTTTTCGACCTGTAGAGCATACACGCGGTTTTAATTTGATTCGCATCGGAATTCTAGAAATTCAAATCAAGCGATGTACTGAAAATGGAGTGCCGTGCTACCCAATCCTCTATTTTGCTTCTGGTTTTCGTCACCAGAAACTCGGTGCTTCCAGGTTGACTACAGGTTCGTTAGACCGTTAGACTATCAACTACATGGTACGAGGAGCAAATCCGTCCTTTTCGTTCGGGCACAAAGCAAATTTCACGTTAATTTCTGACCATGTATCAGGGACCATGGCGTGCTGGTGCATAGAGTCTCGTCGATATTCGATTTCGTTACGCATGCTATAAAGCAAACTGACTCTTATTCGTTTTAGAATTTCTCCTATTCCCTCGCATTCGATAGATGAATTGCGAGACGTTTCTGAACCCACGGCATCGCTCCAAATATTAATTATTTACGCGTCACCCGAGGCAAATTGGTCAATGCGTTTAAATTGCATTTGGTCATGTTTCACTCTATTTTTGTCTATTGAATTTCATCAAATACGTATGGTGCTTCAGAAAATACTATCATTTATTATTCTGTTATTGTTCTGTGCTTAACAACACAACTGAAAGATTCGGTCTAATGCATGTGTTCTAACTAAATAATTGATGTTTTTACTTCTTACGCTTAACGCATCTTTATATATTTCTCCTCTTATTATTACACTTTAAACTACACTACAATTTAACGTATCCGCGAAAAAGATTCTTTAAATTTATTATACAAACGCAGGGTCGATCGATCTTTCTACTATCACGGGCTTCCATGCAAGTGAAGGAATTCGGCAATCGATTTCCGGTCGATGCCGAGCTCATCGATAATTAGTGTGGTAGAGATAGTACGC